GCCTGTTTTCTGCAGGCGCTCGCCGTCGCGCAGAGCACACCCGTGCAGCGGCGTGATGAGCGGTTTCCCGGGGAGGACGCAGGGTTTCGCTGCTTTGCTGCTGCTCGCGTTACTCCCCGCGCCGGCTTTGCCTCTCGAAGCAGAAGACTGCTCTGAAGACGAGCCCCGCAGCCCGCTCGCGGCCACACTGCTCTCTGCAGCCATCTGGCCGTCTCTTCGGTCGTCGTCTTCAAGCAAGTGCAACAAACTTTTGTATTAATTGTCGTGTTGAAGTCCCTAATGTTTAGAAAGAAAGGAGGTGGGTTTCTCTCCCCCAAGAGCTGGGTGTCTGGCTGGGGTTTCAGGTGACTACAGTGACTTCAGATGCTGTCATTAATGCGTGGTTGCTACCTTCTAGCACTAGTCAGGAAAATAATCATTCTAGCAAAGTGTTTGTATAGAGATTAAAGCTAAAGAAGCTACACAGCTTGATGTCCGAAAGCTGATCTACATGAGGAGAACCCATATATGTTGCTGACAGCACATCGCAGCAAAGGGTGTAACTGAACAGGCTCTGAAAAAGGCTGAATTCTAAATATAGAGGGCCACACTACGCTCAGCGCTGTTTTGGAAAGTGTGGCTGAGCCATCATTATGTATCTTCCCCTCCTCCACCTATGCCGCAGGGTGTCAGAGGATGAAGTATACGTTGCCGTGTTTCGCTTTCTTCGTCTATTTTTGGTTTAAATCCAGTGGGTTTTTCTGGGGTAGGATGTGTCCTGATTTTAAGGTGAAGAGCAGGTCTGCTGCTGCTTAGGCTGCCGTGTCGCTCAGGAATCTAAATGGGTATAAGGTGTTTCTTATACTTGATCTCAATTTCTGTCTGATCTGAGCAAAAGAATGCGATGTGTTTAACGGACCAGGCCAGTATTGTTCCAGCAGGCATAGGTGCTTTATAACGTTGCGGAGGCAAGCGAGGGAGCTGGCAGGTTGGAGGGGCTCTCAGCAGCTTTCCGTACTTCTAAAAACGACTCACAGTGCTACATGGATGCCCAGAGAGCAAACTGAAGCCTGCTGAGATCTGGCTTAGAGTCCTGAACTTGCTAGGGGTCCATATAGTCTGTTGCATCCACAGATGCTGAAGATGCTGTAAAAGCAGCCGCAGCCGTTGCAGAGGTCTTCCCTGGTTTTAAGCTGTAAAAAAAAGATAAACTCTTCCCCAGTAAAATTGTTCTTTGCTTCTGAAATGAGAGTATGGTAGAATTTCACTGAAACTTGGCTGGCAGAGAAGTAATGTGTGCTGGAAAATCTTGTGGGAAACTACGACGTGAAAACGCTGTCAGTCTTGCGGGTGATTGAGTCAGAGCAGCGTCGCTGCGAGATAGGGACATCGGCTTCCCAAACACCGCTTCGCTACCAGTGGAGGGGATTTCGTGCCATTTAGGCTCGGCCTGGAGCTCCCTTGCGGGGAGGAGGGACCGTAAAGCTTGCAAGGCGTTATCCTTCTTGGAACAGAGTAAAGCATGGCTGGGCTGGAGAGCTGGATTAGAGCTGCGTGATCGGGTGATGCCGGAGTGGTGCTGGCAACTGCTCAGCCCATTGTAAACCAGTTTAACCCTGTGGTCGCTCTGCCTTGCTGGTAGGGTATGTTGGGCCTTTACCCAGCCCCGGTGCTCAGCTGCCTTGGCCGCCTTTTGTCTCGGGCTCTGCTGACTGTGTCCTTGGCGTAACTGATGGAGGATTACGATCTGGCCTTGCAGTGGCATCCATCTCCATTAAACAGTAAAATTTCCACCAAACGTAAGGTCAGCGTTGGTCAAAATCGAGCAGGCACTTTACACAGGCAGAAATATTCCATAGAGAAAGACTTAATCTCCTAAAAGTGCTTTGAAGCTGGTCTGGGGGAGGGCTGGGAGGGCTGTAGGCAGCGGATGCGGTGGCCTGTGTTGGTGGAAATCTGGCCTGGTCTAGACTGGCACTGAAGCACCATCGCCCACGCAGGCGGGAGGTCCGGCGAGAGCATGGAGAGCCTGTCTTGTTCTGAATTTGAGGGTTTGCATGCGGTTTGAAAGAGCCAGCTCCTCCTTTTCGGGGTATTCCTGTTAGCTGGTTTGAACCTTGTAATAACCCTGGTGCTTTTTGGTTTTTTAGCCAAGCGCATTTGGCAGCAGCACACCTAAATAAGGGCAGATGCACAGGAGGTGTAGATTTTCCTAAGAACTTGATTCTTGCTGTTGCTTCCCGTCTCTGCAGCTGGGGGTGCCGCAGCAGTAAACCTCATTTCCCCCGTGCTGCCTGCGCTACGAGGGCTGGTGTCAGCTTGAAACAGGTTAATCTCAGCAGAAGGCTTCTTGGTTAGATTTTGGAAGAAGAATCTGGACTGTGGCCACTTGCTGCGGCTCCCCTGCCCCATGTGCTCTCCCTGGGTTCAAAAGTGCTACAGAAGGAGGGGGAGATGGGCAGAGGGAATTACTTTGTGATTAATTTTGTAATTGCCCAACATCCAGATGTGGCAAAGGCTTTGTGCAGTGGCGCTGGATTTGTGCATGCATTTTCTGCTGATGCCGTGTTTCTGAACCGTGTTGCGTTTTTCTTCCTTTCTGGGTAGCCTTAGTATTTATCCACCAGAATCAGGATGCTTAGAGTATATTTTCATAAATGATGGCTTTCAACGTGGATGGGTGGAGCCACGGATTTGTACGTACCTTACCGTCATGGTGTTCCTTTCTGCCCTGGAGTGTGACAGTAGGGAGTAGGGGTGTTTGTGTAACAGTTGACTGTAAAATGCAATGCTGTGGTCCGTGCACTAGTGAAAGCGTGTTTATGCTCCTGCAGAACCGTGCTTTGTGTTTGCAGCAGAGATAAAGAGGTAGGAAATCAGTCAAGAGTTGCGAAGTGTGTAGGTTCCCCCCATGCACCCACACATGCTTGCCTGCTCTCAGAATCACAGAATCACAGAATGGTAGGGGTTGGAAGGGACCTCTGTGGGTCATCTAGTCCAACCCCCCTGCCCAAGCAGGGTCACCCAGAGCAGGCTGCACAGGATCTTGTCCAGGCGAGTCTTGCATATCTCCAGAGAAGGAGACTCCACAGCCTCCCTGGGCAGCCTGTTCCAGTGCTCTGTCACCCTCAGAGGGAAGAAGTTCTTCCTCATGTTCAGACGGAACTTCCT